CAATTCAATTCAATTCAACCAATCAATTCAATCAATCAATTCAATTCAACCAATTCAATTCAACCAATCAATTCAATCAATCAATTCAATTCAACCAATTCAATTCAACCAATCAATTCAATCAATCAATTCAATTCAATCAATCAATTCAATTCAATTCAATTCAATTCAATCAATCAATTCAATTCAATCAATTCAATTCAATCAATTCAATTCAATCAATCAATTCAATCAATCAATCAATTCAATTCAACCAATCAATTCAATTCAATCAATTCAATTCAATCAATTCAATCAATTCAATTCAATTCAATTCAATTCAATCAATCACTTCAACCATTTTTTATACAAATATTGTTCTTTTTTGCTATTGTAATATTGTTGACAAGAAATCTTTTTTTATTCAATAGAAAACAACGAAAAACAGCCAAAGATTTTTGAAAATGTTCATCGTTTTGTCACTTTTCATTCCCGGGTACTGTACTACAATATTTTGTACTATCCAATCCTATTTACAAGAGTACACAAGATATACTGTAATAAGAATAAAATATTTATATGGTATCTGAAAGGTAGAGTAGAGTGCTTTGAAATTTCCAAGTTTCAACAAATTAGCCCTTCCAAGATCCGATTGTAATTCAATTATTTTATCTTATCTACTTTAAAAATATCAATTCACTTTCTAAATTTTCGATTTTCGATCACTTCGATGATATTATCTTTTTCTGTTTTCTGTTTCAAGCCGGATTCGAATCGAAAATAAGATTGACATATTGGGATATTGACAAAAAGAAAAGGATTCATCCTAAAAGGAAAAAGTGGGAAAGAAAACTGAAAAGATAATAATTGAGTGAATTCACTCTTTTTTTCTTTTTCCTCTAAAATCTTTTTGAAAAGTATAACGGTAAAACAAACTTTTTATTTCTTTATTCTATTTTTTTCGTTTAATTGTAATTAACTGGGTTTAATTCTTTATTTTAATTAACTTTGAATGAGAATTTGGAAGGCTTGTTTCAAATTTGTTCTCATAAAAGCGATCCAACATTGATTAATGATGTTTCAAAAAAATTGAAAGCTCTTCTACTTCTACGTTGTTCAGCTTGACTGCATAACTAGAGCGTTTTCATTTCTAAGATGAGTTTTCTAAAATGTGTCCATCTTTCTACCGTAATCTTGTCTCTAATTTTCATCAAATCCATTCACTTTTTGTATCTTTCTTTGTGAATCAAAAGAAAAAATAGATCGATTTGATAAACATTGAAGACAAGATTATTGTAGTTCTTGACACGTTTTATTAGGTTGGTGAATTGAAAACTGCGGCACTTTGAACTAAAATTTGGATGGAGATGGAGAGGAAGGTTGGGAAAAAGATTTCTTCGAAATATCTTTTTCTTAGCTGAAGATCTTTAATTGCAATTTATTATATAATCATTTCGATAATCTTTCTCAATTTTTAGCTCAAATTTCCAAAAGAGCTATTGGGTTGGTGAATTGAAAACTGCGGGACTTTGAACTAAAATTTATTCAACATAAAACCATGAATTCATTCCAAATAATTTCCATTATTATTGACGACTTGTGCTCATTTTACAGGCAATTTGCGGATTCCTCTTTCTTGGTAGGATTTTGGTTTGTGTGTGAGACAAATGTGAGACTCAAAAATGGAGGACTGGAGGTGTCCCAGTTTGAGCACTTTCTTCAAAAGGAACCCATTTTGGTGTCAATAGAAAAGTTGTAGAGAATGAAAAATTAGGCTTATAGCCAAATTTCCAAAAAGATACACTTAGTAGTTTCGCTTAGAATGCAAGTTTTGTGAAAATTCGTAAATTTGACATTTTTTTGAAAACCAGTTTTTGAATCGTTCTGAAAATTTGGATATAAGCTTGATTTTTGATTCTCTACAACTTTTCCATTGACACCAAAATGGGTTTCTTTTGAAGAAAGTGCTCAAACTGTCACATATGACAATAGCCCGCAGTTTTCAATTCACCAACTCAATAGATTGAGATTAGCCTTGATTTGCGGAGAAGTCAATGTCCAATTCGAGGAAACATGCAAGTTTAGAATCTTTTCCGACACCGATTTGTCATTTCTCAAATCATTTAACTCAAGTAATTGTTGGTTAACTTTCCTGTATTCCCCTCGTCGTTTTTTTTAAAATTTACGAATCATTCTCAAAGTTTTTAAGTTTTCTCAGCAAATTTCTCAGTAAAGCAAATCGAATTTCTTTTATTTCTATAGATGCGCTTATAGAATATGCAGATTCTGACAAAGTTTCAGAAATTTTCTTTAAAAACCCGCAATTTAGTGCAACTTTTTGTGTCTTCGGTGAGTCTCTTGGACGGCGCTTCATCAGTTTAGCGCCACTTCTATTAAAAGGCAATATCTCCAGTAAAAAGATAAAAACAAATACTTAAAAATAGAGTGTTTGATGAGTTCTCTCACCAAAATCCTCCAATTCCCTCTCGATTTCTCCTCTTTTCTTTCGAATTCCTTTTTCAAATGATTCCCCAAATCCGGCTCCTTTTTGCAGAAATTGAAAATGAGCGATTTTGACTCGTTTTTCTTTTCCTCTCTTTTCTCAATCATTCACCGATCATTTCTCGTTTTTCTTCCTCTTTTTCTTTTTCTAAATTTTCTCGATAAGCTCATTGCCAAATGCCAATTCTTACGGATTCGCTGGAATTTTTAATCCTCAAGTTTCTAGTTTTACCCGATTTTGGGCATTTCCATTTTTATATGTCAATTTTTAATACCGTATTCTGTCTAATAGTACTGCACTCAGAGCGTCACCTAAATTCCTCGAAATCTCGAGAACCGCTTATCAGAACCTATCGATGTGGGGTCGGAAAATGTAGCTGGCGATGAGATCTAGTGGGGGATTTGAGTGTTGAGCTTCTGTGGAAACTTTGAAAGCTGTAAAATAGTGATCAACTCGGCTCGCTGGGTGTACTAGTATTAGAGGAAATACGATAATAAGACATAAAGGTCTAAAGAGTGGTCTCTCTTTATAAGGCTTACGCGTGTGAATCTCAAGGATCTCCATATTATTCGTAGCTACTTTGTATTATCTTATATACCAAAAATGTAATACAAACAAAGGATACATTCCGGATTTTCTTAAATATTAGTGCACCCAGAGTGTCGTCTAAATTCCTCGAAATCTCGAGAACCGCTTATCAGAACCTATCGATGTGGGATCGGGAAATGTAGCTGACGATGAGATCTAGTGGGGGATTAGAGTGTTGAGCTTCTGCGAAAACTTTAGAAACCGTAAAATAGTCACCAACTCGGCTCGCCGGAGTGCACTACTATTACTACTACTACTACTACTATACGGTATACCTGAAATCCCTTGAAAATCCTTTCTTAGACCACCAATAGTCTAACCGTCGTCAATGTGTTAATAAACTTTTTACTCGATTTTGGGTCATTTCCATTTCTATATGTCGATTTTCAATACCGTATTATATATATATATATGCTTTATTCAGGAGGGCGAATAGAAGCGAATCAGATAATCATAACCGCATATAATTGCTACAATACTTTCACAAAAAAAAGAAAGAAACCTAGAGATACAGTAAGACGATAGTCAGGAAAAACAGGTACAAAAAGATTAAATATAAGGCAGATTTGACATGGCAATTAGATCTAATTCGTTTACAGATACTTTGAATTTTCCTACAGACGAGAAGATACCAGGCGGGAGCTTATTCCAAACCCTACTAATACGGTTCGCGAAAGAATGATAAAGGGAAAGGTGGTGGGGATGAGAACCGAGCGAAATTTGATAAGGATGACTACGGGTTCTTCTGGACTTTCCACAATTTTCAAGAGACTTTGAAATTCCGGATGCGCCTTAGGGTGGAAAAGGATTTTATAGCAGAAAATCAGATCAGTAAATACGGCGATATAAAAGGGGTTTTAAATCGAAAACTATAAGTCTAGTCTCATAATTTGGAATAAGAGAAGAAGGGAAACAACGAGTGTGCTTTTTAGTGAAACGCCGTTGTACTTTTCAACCAAGGTGATAAGTTTCTTAATGGAAGGTGACCATACGATGGTGGCATACTCGAGCAAAGGCCGGCAATAGGTTATAAAAGCCCTGCGATAAGTCGCGATTTTAGGGAAACAAATGGCGCGAAGTATTATGTTAGAAATTCTAGAAGCTTTTTTGGAAATGTAGTTTATGTGAGGGTCAAATTTTAGAGAGGGAACTAACAGTATACCAAGGTCTTTTACAGGATCATCGGCCAATCCTTGTGGTAATTGTAGGTCCCCCAAATTCAAAGGGATTCTCTCTAATAGTACTGCACCCTGATCGTCGCCTAAATTCCTCGAAATCTCGAGAACCGTTTATCAGAACCTATCGATGTGGGGTCGGAAAATGTAGCTGACGATGAGATCTAGTGGGGGATTTGAGTGTTGAGCTTCTGCAAAAGCTTGGAAACCGTAAAATAGTGATCAACTCGGCTCACCGGGATGCACTACTATTAGAGAGAATACAGCAAGAATTTTTATTTCCTATAAAAAAGAAAATTTAAACTCAACCTGTCTCACTACAGTATCATTACAGTATTCAGACAGTAAGATAAGTAAATCTCAAATCAAATTTCTCAGCTATTCCACCAGTTAAACTCATCCTAATGCATTTTCATCTCAAAGTCAAAGTTACTTTTCTGCCCTAACTGAGCTTACTTTTAACTACCTAATACCCAACTTTATTCTATGGTCGCTTAAGTAGTTAGAAAATCTTCTTTTTTATCGTGAGAGATCGGATGATCAAGAAAAATAGATCTTTAGCCTAGGTTTTTAAGATTTTTCACCAAATTCTATTTTTTTTTACTTTCATACATCGTTTTTCTGTGTTTCAATCTGATCATCATGTAATCTAACTCGAATTTGTTAATGGTTTTACCCCTTTCGATTCGCAAAACTCTATAATTGTTGTAAAGTTTCATTTTGAGCTTTTCAGCTTCTCATAATCAAAAATCGAAATGCTTCGTCGTCTTGGCGCGCATCAAACGGCGATCTATCGATGCGAATCCCCGTCACAGGTTTTTTTGTGAAGAAAATGAAGAAAATGAGCTTTTTAGAGGATTATTTATACAGTGAAACAGCTTGCTACCATCATTAATTCACTTTTCAATCATCAAACATCACAAAAATCTTGAAACATCAAAGATTAAACTGTTAAAAGGATTGCTTAATGTTGCTTAATTAATGTTAAAAGAATTGCTGACACTTTTCCCACCAATTCGTTTGTTGATTAATGAAATTAACTTAATAACTGATAAATAACTGATTAAATGGTTAAATGATTAAGTGATTAAAATTTTAAATGCATTTTAAATGCAAATTTTAGCCAATTAATTTGAGAAACCCACTCTATGGCTGATTGCTGATTGCTGATTGCTGATTTTTGTCGTTTTTAATGATACTCAGCATTAAACGAAGCCCAATTTGCCCTTTCTTTTCCCAAATTTCATTTCAGTCGCTCACCTCACTGGCCTCCGAATGCACATTGCCCATTTCGATGACTCCCGTTTCGGAAATTGATCCCGACTTTCATCCCGACAACTTTACGGTAATAAATAAGAATTTTAAAATGATAAACTAAGCTTTCTGAAATCATTTCCGAATCGCTGTCTCAATTTGAGACGCTTTGAATCAATTTGATCAATCAATCAATCAATCTCACGCTTTGAATCAATAAATAAGCATCTTTCAAGCTTTCTGAAATCATTTCCGAATTGCTGTCTCAATTTGAGACGCTCTGACGCCTTGAATCAATAAATTAAACATCTTTGAAGACAATTTTAAATTAAAAACATTTTTTGACATCATCATTTTGCTTCTTTAACTCTAAAGATAATAAATTTCAATTTCAATTTCAATTTCTTTCCAGCCAACTCCAATCCCACCCGCATCACTGCCCGAAGAAAGGATCGTCGATCGAAAAGAGCTCACAACAAATCTCACAAATGTTGCCAATAAGGTAAGACTGGCATTAAATTTCATTAAGACATTAAAAGATTTCTTGTTGCAATCAATTTTTGCCTAGTTGAGCGCAATTGTTTCGCTGATGAGCGATTTCTCGATGGACGCGTCGAAGCTGAGGGAAAGTGCCGAGGATTTGTTGGAGGAATTGACGGTGGGACTGTGTTCAGAGTTTAGGTTTCAAGTTTTATTACGATAAACTGCTAAAGTGAAGTTTAATTGATTCCCTGATTGATTCCTTGATTCCCTGAAGTGAGAAAATACTTGATTTTCAAAGCTTTCAGACTCAAATCTGTCCCTCGTTGATTGCGCTCGATTTGCAAATGATCGCCTCGGAGGCTTTGTTGAAGTAAGTTGATGGGAAATTTTAAAGATATTCAGCTAAAGGAATTAAAGATATTCAGCTAAAGGAATTAAAGATATTCAGCTAAAGGAATTAAAGATATTCAGCTAAAGGAATTAAAGATTTAAAGATATTCAGCTTAATAACAAACACTTTTGAATTGTTTAAATGATCAATTTTAAAATAAATTGCTTCAAATTTTGTTTTATCGTTTTTTTCTGTATTTTATTTTGTTTCAAATTTCTTTTTAATTTCAAATGCCCATATTTTTCAGGTACAATCTCGATCGAGCGAATATCCAGGAGAATCGTATCAATTGGTTGTTGATTTTGAATCGATATCAAGTGAGTTGAGAGAAAAAAATTGCATTTCAAAAGGTTTTGGTAATGAATTTCAAAAGCTTTTGGCAAAAAACCAATTCTTAAACTTTTCCTTGACACAATTCTCGTGATTAGTAAAAAGCTGCCAAAATATTTAGAATTTCAAAGAATTTGCCCTTTCAGAGGAACTTTTAACACAGCACGACAAAGCCATTTTTGCTTTTTTCGTTGCCGTTTTGGATAACAGCTACAGTACTGGACAATGAAATGTTATATTTGAAAAACGATCGCCACTTTCGCTCTGTAACTCTCTTGTCTTTGAGTTTAAACTATTAGTGTTATACATTTTTTTTTACAAAACAACGGAGTTAGAGACGCGCAAAAGTGACGATCGTTTTTCAAATATCATATCTTTCATTGTCAAGTACTGTATCTATGTTAGCTGAAAATTTATAACCAGAGGCATTCTGGGATAGAGAATATAAATCCGTTATTAGCTTTTGAGCAACTTTAATTTCCGAGCCAAAACGGTCATCACAAAATTCTCTAAAAACTTAGTTAATTAAATCAAATTGAAGAAAAAGAGGGAAACGAAGCTTGTATTCTGTCCTATATCCCTAAAGACCGTGTGCCAGAAGCCTCACGGTTACGTAAACATGAACATCTTCATGTTTTTGTAATCGGCCCTGTGTAATCGGCCCTGTGTAATCGGCCTTTTGGCACACGGCCCTGCTGGGTCGCCCCTTGGGTAATTAAACTATGAAATATCCAAAAATAGAGCAACTTTCTTTAAAAAATCAAGTACGGAGTCGATTCCTTTTTCAGCCCAATCAGCTATCCAATCGAACTTGATCGGCTAGTAAACACCATTTCGGCAGTTTTCAATGACCAACCCAATATATTGACTATTTTAACGATCATTTGAGGCAAATGAAATTACGAATGACACCAAAAACAACTTAAAATATAAAATCCATGCAAAATGAAATATTGGTCAAAATACGGCTGAAAAAATGCCCGTACAGTAAGGCAAACAGAAAGACAGACAGACAGAAAGACAGACAGACAGAAAGACAGAAAGACAGACAGACAGAAAGACAGAAAGACAGACAGACAGATACCGTAACCCCCTCCCCTCCCCTCCCCCCTCATTTACGAAAAAAAAGTGCTAAATCCGTCACCAATGTGTTAATTTCAGTTGGATTGCCGAAAAAAACTTTCATGTTTCAAAGATTCTAGCTATCGAATCGAACTTGATCGGCTAGTAAGCACTATTTCATTCAAGTTTTAAGTCAATTCAATTCAATTCAATTTTTTTTATTCAATCAGCACAACTTTTAAGTGACAATCAATCAATTTGAAAGTTCACAAAAATTTGATTATTTAATGAGGTAAATGGATTAATCAAGTTTCAGCTTTGTCAGGTTTTCGGTCAAGATTTCGGTCATTGTTTGGACTTTAGTCTTTCTTGTTGATGGTAAAATAGATTAACAATTTGGAAATTAGCAAAAGCCGATAGATAAGTCGATAAATATTTATCTTGCTCCTTTGAAACCATTATTTTTAGAAAAAGCAAAACAATTTTACCATTAGGGAATCCTTTTAAACAATTCTACAAATAGAAAAAAACATTGTGTTTCAAGAAAATTAACTATAAAAAATGGTTTGGCACTAAAATCAAAATGCTCGTTTTTCAGAAAGAGATGCGTCGAATTCTCGCTGAGTTGAGCGGTCCAGTTTACAGGGAATTCGAGTCGAGTCTCGAGTTAAGATTTAGAGGTTTGACTAATATAAAATTATATAAAGATTCATATAAACAGAATTTTTTTTATTAAAGAGAATATATTGGATCAATATAAAATATGAAATGAAATGAAATGTCAAAATTTTATCACATTTTCTCAATTAAATTTGAAAAACGTCTTTTATGATTTGTTGACAGGGAAAAGTTATGTAATAAATGAGCTTTTTGACTAAAGATTTCTTTGAAAAAAAAAAAACTATTTCAAGCAATCATTTTCATAAGCTTTTTCAATCAAAAAGCTAATTCATAAAGAAATTCAAGGCTTTATCGTTTCAAATGATTTTCAAAACTCAAAAGAACCTTGATAAAAACAATCTTGATAAAAACAAACTTTATAAAAACAATCTTATTCCTATTCTCCTGAAATCTTTAAATACACTATCGAATTTGCTTGAAAGTGAACCCAAATTGACTTAAAAAGATGGGAAATTGAACAATCTTTTCGTTCCTTTTCGTACTTCCGTTTAAAACCAACAAATACACCAATTGAACTATTTATTTCATTAAAAAGATCAATTATTTTCCTGCAAAATAACATTAAGACGTGTTTCAAATGTCTTATGTCTGGATTTTTTTGAAAGCTTGAAGTCGGGTAGTCAAAAAAGGACGGCTCAATGATTCTGTTTAGATACTTTAGCTAAGGAAACCTATCTTCGTGTCATAAAAGATTGAGCACAAATTTCTAACATAAAAAGTTTAGTATATACCGTATTTTCTCTAATAGTAGTGCACCCCAGCGAGCCATGAATTTCGGATAGTATTGTGGCTAACTTTTAGAATTAGAATTAGAATTAGAATTAGACTTAGAATTAGGCTTAGAATTAGTGCTGTCAATTTTGAAAAACCCTCACTTTCCCTTGGAGATTTGAAGAAGATTTCATTTCAAAGTACATTTGTCTTATTGAAATTTTGAATGTTTCACTTTTTGTGTAATAAAAATGTAAAAGAAATGGCTAATGGTAGCTTTGTAAAATTTTGGGGTTTAATATTAGGCTGTTTAGAAAGTCTTTTCGTTCCTTTTCGTACTTCCGTTTAAAACCAACAAATACACCAATTGAACTATTTATTTTATTAAAAAGATCAATTATTTTTCTGCAAAATAACATTCAAATGTGTTTCAAATGGATTATGTCTGGATTTTTTTGAAACCTTGAAGTCGGGTAGTCAAAAAAGGACGGCTCAATGATTCTGTTTAGACACTTTACCTAAGGAAACCTATCTTCGTGTTAATAGATCAAAGATTGAGCACAAAAAGTTTATTATATAGCTAAAGTAGCGTTTTCAATCAAAAAGCCAATTCATAAAGAAATTCGAGGCTTTATCGTTTCAAATGATTTTCAAATGATTTCAAATTTTCAAAACTTAAAAGAATCTTGGTAAAAACTATCTTGATAATTATTGTTATTCACTTGAAATCTTTAAATAGAATTACGTTGTTTAAAGAAATAAAGAGCAAATAAAACTTTGACTTAAAAGAAAATTAAAGGGTGACTTCAATAATAATATGCTTTATTCAGCTGAATGGGAGTGGGACAAATGCGACCTTTTTTTTGCGCACCCGGACATTTGCGCACCTTTTTTTCCGCACCTTGCCCATTAGCGCACCTTTTTTCGCGTTTTAAAAAAGCTCTAAAAAGCTAATATAGCTAATAAATAACGAATTTCTATTCCAAAAGTTGTTTTTCTAGGTGATTTTAGGGCGTAGAAGCGAAATTTTGACATATCAGAGCTTGTGGAAACAAACGGACGGAGTTGTACAAAGAGAAAAATCGACAATTTTCTGTAATTTGATCTAGCCGCTTTGTCTTTCAAAGAGCCGTTTTGTCTTGGTTCCACACGCTCTGTTATGTCAAAATTTCGATTCTACGCCCTCAAATTACCTAGATACCTAGAAAAACAACTTTTGGAATAGAAATTGGTTAATATTAGCTTTTTAGAGCTTTTTTAAAACGCGAAAAAAGGTGCGCTAATGGGCAAGGTGCGGAAAAAAAGGTGCGCAAATGTCCGGGTGCGCAAAAAAAGGTCGCATTTGTCCCACTCCCGGAATAAGGAGCAAATAAAACTTTGACTCAAAAGAAAATTTAAAGTTGACTTCAATAATCGAAAAGTTTCTTCATAATTTCATTTCAAATAATAAAGTTATTTTGTTATTAGCTTAAGCTTAAGATTATCTTTTCTTTTCTTCTTTTCTTCTTTTCTTTTCTTTTTATTTATCTTTTTATCTTTTTATCTTTTCATTATAATCAAAAAGAAATTATGAGAACTGAAGAAATTTACATGAATCAACCATTTCCAATGGTTGATTTTCCATTTACCTAACATCCAAAACTTAATCCAAAGCCAAAAACTAATCAATCAATCAATCAATCAATCAACTAAGAATCAAAGAAAACTTGAAAAGTCACTTAAAAATTGATGTTTCAGGAGTGATCGGCAGACGACCATCGATTGAAACAATGGAGAACCTGCATGGAATGCGTGATGGAATGAAAAGAGCTTTGCAGTTGTTAGTCAAAGAAACAGAGCTTTAAATTCAAGCTTTTCATTTCATCTTTCATTAAAATGCTTTTTGAAAATTAGAAATTTGTCGCCAAATTTTGAAATCATTACTTTTTATTGAGCTTTTTCATGGAAATAAATTTTTTACATAAAGGAAAAATTAATAAGAAAAGCTATAAAGCAATTTCTTTTCTTCAATTTATTTTATCTGAAAAATCTACTTTGAATATTTTAGGGTTTAAGGGATAGTTTTGACACAGTTTTAATCCATTAACCGCGAACCCGCGAGCAGCATTCACAGGGGTTTTAGAGTCACCCTATCCTCTAGACCACCACTACTTTTGTTTCCTCTAGACCAACACTACTTTTGTTTCCTTTCGGTGTGGCACATAGGTGAGGCTGTGTGGGGGAAAGGAGGAGAAGAAGAAGAGAAAAATGAAATTAAGAGGCTAACTGTGGATAACTATGCGTGAATTCAAAATTCTTTCAAGATTATTCCGATTATCTTTTCTTTTTTTTTCTTTAAAGTTCATTCGATTACGTTAGTGTTAAAATTGTTTTAGAAAATACATTTCAAGAAGAATTAGACGAATTCTAGAAAAGGATTTATTTAAGGATTCTAGAAAAGTTTTAGTGCTTATTGTATTCAAAAGTGACACTAATTGATTCAATCTTGTATTCACGATGAATTTCGGATAGTATTCTGGCTAACTTTTAGAATTAGAATTAGAATTAGACTTAGAATTAGACTTAGAATTAGAATTAGAATTAGAATTAGAATTAGAATTAGAATTAGAATTAGAATTAGAATTAGAATTAGAATTAGAATTAGAATTAGAATTAGAATTAGAATTAGAATTAGAATTAGAATTAGAATTAGACTTAGAATTAGAATTAGAATTAGAATTAGGCTTAGAATTAGAATTAGAATTAGAATTAGGCTTAGAATTAGTGCTGTCAATTTTGAAAAACCCTCACTTTCCCTTGGAGATTTGAAGAAGATTTCATTTCCAAGTACATTTGTCTTATTGAAATTTTGAATGTTTCACTTTTTGTGTAATAAAAATGTAAAAGAAATGGCTAATGGTAGCTTTGTAAATTTTTGGGGTTTAATATTAGGCTGCTTAGAAAGTCTTTTCGTTCCTTTTCGTACTTCCGTTTAAAACCAACAAATACACCAATTGAACTATTTATTTTATTAAAAAGATCAATTATTTTTCTGCAAAATAACATTAAAATGTGTTTCAAATGGATTATGTCTGGATTTTTTTTGAAAGCTTGAAATCGGGTAGTCAAAAAGGACGGCTCAATGATGCTGTTTAGATACTTTAGCTAAGGAAACCTATCTTCGTGTCATAAAAGATTGAGCACAAATTTCTAACACAAAAAGTTTAGTATATACCGTATTTTCTCTAATAGTAGTGCACCCCAGCGAGCCGAGTTGATGACTATTTTACAGCTTTCAAGGTTTTCACAGAAGCTCAACACTCAAATCCCCCACTAGATCTCATCGTCAGCTACATTTTCCGATCCCACATCGATAGGTTCTGATGAGCGCTTTTCGAGATTTCGAGCAATTTAAGCAACGCTCAGGGTGGACTAATATTAGAGAAAATACGGTAATTAAATTTTCAGAGAAATTGGTTCAACCAATTTCTTCGTAGAGTTTTTATAGATTTTTTTTAGGAAAAACATGGTTTTTCCTCTCGAATTTTTGCTTGAAAGTAAACCGAAATTTACTTTAAAAGATGGAAATCAAAAAAATAAATACTTTTTATTTAGAGAATTGCAATAGATTAATTGATAAATTTGTTTAGTTTTCAATAAAAGTATGAAAAGGAAAGAAAAGATTTTCTGGAGATTCTAATATAATATTGTTTTTAGAATTTTAACTTTTTCCAGTCTAGCTATATAAATTTTCAATATTCTTCCACGTACAAATGCTTTTTTTCAAGTTTTTCTTTAAGATGCTCTAATTGGAGAATGTTTACTCGATCGATTAGAACAGCGCCGTCTTATCATAGATTAGAACAGCGCCGTCTTGTCAATAGATGAGAAACAGAGGGAGGAGTTTTCTTTAAGATGCTCTAATTGGAGAATGTTTACTCGATCGATTAGAACAGCGCCGTCTTATCATAGATTAGAACAGCGCCGTCTTGTCATAGATTAGAACAGCGACGTCTTATCATAGATTAGAACAGCGCCGTCTTGTCATAGATTAGAACAGCGACGTCTTATCATAGATTAGAACAGCGACGTCTTATCGTCTTATCTTATCGCCGTCTTATCATAGATTTGGTTGAGTGCTTTAAAATTGTACAAGGAAAACATCAAAACCCTCTTTTTAAAAATTTGGTTAAACTTTTTTGGCTAAACTCGAGGCTTTGGGCGACTAGGCGTGCCTCTTTTATCTTGCATCCATTGCAATCTGCTTTCTCTAAATCCTCTAGAGCTTTTTCTTGTAAATCGTGTGATTAAAGTTTGGAATGTCCTTGCCGACAAGTTGCGCTTGATCTCCATTTTAATGGTCTGATTTTAAAACAGGCTACTTCATTGCATTTTAAGTGACTTTGTCATCTTTTATCTGCTACATTTTTCATGTCGTTTTCGCACTTCTTTCTAAATAAAGTATTTATATGTTGTGTCCGATTTAGATTTCCGTCCGATTTAGATTGAACTTATCGCGGACGTCCGATTTAGATTACAGTCTATATCGGACGTCCGATTTAGATTCAATCTAAATCTTATATAGATTGAACAATAATATAAACATGCTTAATACATGTTCTTAAGCGTTTTCTGTAGTTTTCTGCATTTTTCAAAGGTCTTTTACTGTCTTTTTCTGAAAAGAAAACCCAACTATGAAACAATCTATTAATTAACATTAACAACAACAACAAATTAACAGAATAGATGCGAAATTACAACACACAACAACAAAAAACCAACAACAACAACGAACGAGTTAAAATTTCTATTTATTTTTGCAGCTTGGCTATTGTGCATCTTGATTGCAGAGTTGTGACATCTTGTCTTTGTGGCATCTTGAACATGCTATTGTGACATCTTGAATTCTTTGAAAAGCGCAGAAAATTGCAAAAAAACGCTTAAGAACATATATTAAGCACGTTTATTATTGTTCGATCTGTATCGGACGTCCGATATAGACTGTAATCAATAAAAGACCTTTGAAAAATGCAGAAAACTACAGAAAACGCTTAAGAACATATATTAAGCATGTTTATATTATTGTTCAATCTATATAAGACGTCCGATTTAGATTGAGTCGTCCGATATAGACTGTAATCTAAATCGGACGTCCGCGATAAGTTCAATCTAAATCGGACGTCCGATTTAGATTGAATCTAAATCGGACGGAAATCTAAATCGGACACAACATATATATATATATATTAATGTTTTCATCGAAAATTAACAACCTTTATTACACACGCATTCTAGAAAATAGAGGAGAGATAAGAGAGAAGAGAGAAATGAGAAGAGAGAAAAGAAAAGCTCCGAGTTCCGAGTTCCGATATCAAATTATCAATCAATATAAAAATTTACAATATAAACATTTCAAAAAAAAGAAAATATACAAAAGAATGAATAGAAAAGTTCCGAGTTCCGAGAATTCCATTCAATCCATGTCAATTTGGGTAAATCGACAAAAAGATTAAAAGTGTGTTTGACTTTTGAGCGGATTTTAAAAAAAATGATTGTTTGGTTGCAGTTTCAATCCCAAAATCGTGAAGTTTCCCTGAAAAAAAGGTTTTTAAAGAGATTGTTTCAAGTTTTTCCTGACTAAAAGCTACCGAATTGCTTTAAATCAGAGTTTTAAAATTGCGGTAAATTTTCGCGTTTATTTGAACCTGGGAAACTGTTTGAATCGGTTTTTTCTGTTTTTTTTTTTGTTTTTTTGAAATTTTGAAGAACCTGGATAAAGCTGCTTAAATTGTTTATCATAATAGCTTCAAAAAAAAACTCTAGTTCAAGGTGAAAAAGTGTTTCGGAATTGCATTGTGATTGTTTTGTTTAGAAAAAAAAAATGTTTGGTTTCAAATTTTTTCTTATTAGATGCTATTAGCTAATCAAATCAAGTTAAATAAAAGCGTTGTGCAAAAAGTGATTCCATTCCAAGATATCTTAAAAATCATTTACACTGCTCAACTCCAATTATTAGGTTGGTGCAGATGAAACTTCCGTTGGAACCATAAACAAAATTTATTATAAAAATCCTAATACAGAACCTCAATCCAAAAGATATTCGCCATCATTATCAATGACTTTTTGCCATCTTCCACGCAGAGAATGGATGCCCTTTTCGAAGAACTCGGGCAACTGCGACTCGAAGAAGTTGGACACCAAGATTTCAACTTCTTCGCGGTTTTTGAATTTTTTTTTCTGCTAAAGAGTGCTGCATCGACCGAAACAAGTGGTAGTCGGATGGGGGCAAGTCCGGGCTATATAGCGGATGAGGCAGAACTTCCCAGCCCAATTCCTGCTTTTCTTTTCTTCAATTTTCTGCTGAGTGATCTTTGCGGATATAGACAAACAATTGTGACGGAAGTTTCATCTGCACCAACCTAATACACAACAAAATCTTTTGAAGCTAAAACTGATCGAATTTCATTTTCTGGTAATTCTTTTCAAAGCTTTCAAAAGCTTTTCAAAATCTTTTCAAAAGCTTTCATTCTTTCTATCATTAAACTCACTTGAGCTTATTTTCACTTATACTTACAATGTTCATAATGATAGGTAAATCCACCACTAGATCTCATCGTCAGCTACATTTTCCGACCCCACATCGATAGGTTCTGATAAGCGCTCTTCGAGATTTTTAGAAATTTAGGCAAGGCTAAGGGTGCACTACTATTAGAGAAGATACGGTAATACAAGATAATAATGCAAGATAAAAAAACTGATCTTCGGAATAATTTAAATACCGTATTTTCTCTAATAGTAGTGCACCCCAGCGAGCCGAGTTGATCACTATTTTACAGCTTTCAAAGTTTTCACAGAGGCTCAACACTCAAATCCCCCACAAGATCTCATCGTCAGCTACATTTTCCGACCCCACATCGATAGGTTCTGATAAGCGCTTTTCGAGATTTCGAGGAATTTAGCCGACGCTCTGGGTGCACTACTATTAGAGAAGATCCGGTAATGCAAATTTGTTGAATTTCGCATTGAATTTTGAATGCAAATTTCGGCTTCGCGGATGCTTTTCAAAAAGCCGAAACAAGCAATAAAACCGTCAAATTTGTGACCTTTTTTTTCGTGATTTTCTTGACTTGACCTCAAAAATCAAACCTTTAGTTGAAAAAACGCTTTCCGCGTAGTCCTTTCGCTCCGAAACCCATCAAATATCCGCCGCGTTTACCGCGAAGACCTGAAACGATTGGAAATGGTTAGACATTTAAAAACAAAGGATTTTAGAGAATTTGGATTAATTTGGATTAATGGAAAGGGATGGCTTTTCGACTTTTCGATGAAAAAGGGTTAGTTTCAAAGTTTTGGGAAAGAATTTTGAGACCAATATTCCTCATTCGACCATCGCTTCTCTTCTCGGCGAGAATTTCTTCATCTATAGTGCTCTTTTGCTTGATTGTTTTTGGAAAAAAAAAAACACTTCTACAGTATTCTAGGATAAAAGATATTCAGACGATAGAAGAACATAGACGAATATCTTTTTTGGCATTGAGTAGTGTGAAAAAGAGTAAGCGTAAAGGCCTACTTTGAGTCGTGTTTGTTAAATTGACTTTTGATTGCTTTACCTCAAGACTTTTGAAGCTGTTCGATTATAAAAGATTTAAAATGTTGAAGTTAAAAAGCAAAAAAGCTCAAAAGCTATTCAACGTTTAACAAAAATCAATGAAATTATTAATATTTAGATATTTTTAAAAAGCTGAAATGATTAAATAAATGCTTTTTTCTCTAATCTCTCTTATTTTGAAACCATGGATTTTAAATTCAAAGTTTTTTTTTCTTTTTTAAATCTGAACCAAATGAACTTTCTAAACTTTAAAATAAAAAATGATTGGAAGAAAAATAAATGAAATTTCCTTTAGAGCATTTCCAAATTGATTTCTTTTTCTTTTCTGTAGTAAATAATGGTTTTTTTTCTAATAAACGAAAAATTTTTGCTTTAAAATCTCTTTGATTTTCTTTTAGATTTTAATTTTTAGCTTTTCTTTTAGCTTTTCTTTTTTAGATTTTCAAATTGAAATCTTTAAGCACTCACCTCTCAATCCACCAAATGTTCGTGGGGCATCGCCGAAGAAGAAATCTCGTTTCAACAGGGCGAACGGTTCGACGCGATCGAGTGACTGAAAATGATGATGATCGAATGAATGAAGAAGCTAGACGCTAGAAAGGCTAGAAAGAAGCTAGAAGCTAGAAAGAAGCTAGAAAGAAGCTAGAAGCTAGAAAGAAGCTAGAAGCTAGAAAGAAGCTAGAAAGAAGCTAGAGAGCTTCTTCATTCATAGAAGCTCATTTCATTTCTGTTCTTTCAATTTCAATTTCATTTCTGTTCTTCTGTTCTTTCAAATAATGTTTTCCCAAAAAAACGTTTCAAAGGTTTCAAATTTTAGACCAAAAACTATCATAATCCACCCGTCAGTTTTCGTCCAGCTCAATTTTAAACCTTTTTTCGATTCCACATCGAATGTGGACTGATAAAGGGGAAAATTGGCGAGAAAATTACGATAGTTTGTCTAAAATTGATGGAAATAGGTGTATTTTGGACGTGTTTTGTTTTTGTTTTGGTTTTGGTAGCGTTTTGGTGGCGCTTTGAGTTTATTCACTTTGAATCACCGCAATCAATGCACCGCTACCGGCGGTTTACCTCTCTCATAAAAACTTGACTCAAAATCAACTCGACTTTTCGATTTTGACATTTTAATGATGAAAAATAAGTGCTTCGATTTTCGAAAATGAATTTTTGATTTTTCAAAAATACAAGTTTCACTTTTTGGGATGAGCCAAATGCAAAATAATGGCTCAATCTCCATGCGCTCCATACCCATTTCAAAAGTCTATTTTCCCTCTAATTTCCAACTCAAAACCTTTCCCCCAAAATGTTGATTCAAACGGTACACCATCGATTTGAACCCGTTCGAAAGCAAACCCCCAATTCCAACCAAAACCTCCCCCGAAAATTGTTGATTCAAACGGTACACTCGTCGATTTGTTAACCACTTTTTCTCACTCCAAACACAAATCTTTTCCCCCGCTTTTCCCTCGTAACGGAAATTTGTCTCAGTGTGCTAAATTTGTCGTCGCACTTCCTATCCGCGTATTTTTGAGGAAAATTCGAGTACAAAATCGAGGCGTTGAATGGGAAATGAAAGGGCTCAAAAGGAATTACATTTTTGGGAAAAATTTTGAAACAAATTGAAACAAACAAAAGCTGTTGTTTTTCAGCTATCCATTTGTTCAAAAATACGCGAATAGGAAGTGTGACGATAAATTTTTCGAAGTTTAGTGCCACCTAATTTGAAACTTTACATAGAAACAAAGGGGTTTCTATTGGTTACTGACTGACTATGAGTTAGTGGAGACGTGGCCTCAAAGTGGACATCGGAAGCCGCACTTGTAAGCCTGTAAGTCCCGATATTGGACATTGTGCCACAGAGATCTTCGAGGATTTATTTCAATGCTTAGTTTCGTAGAGAAAGTATTATGTAGATAAGGCAATGGGATTGAATTAAATTTGGCATAGTTGAAAAACTTTTCAATTGAATGAAAGTGCGGCTTCGATGTCCACTTTGAGGCCACGTTTCCACTAACTCATAGTCAGTCAGTAACCAAAGGAAACCCCTTTTTTTCTATGTAAAGTTTCAAATTAGGTGGCACTAAACTTCGAAAAATTTATCGTCACACTTCCTATTCGCGTATTTTTGAACAAATGGATAGCTGAAAAACAACAGCTATCCATTTGTTTCAAAATTTTTCCCCAAAATGTAATTCCTTTCATTTCCCATTCAACGCCTCGATTTTGTACTCGAATTTTCCTCAAAAACACGCGGATAGGAAGTGCGACGTCAAATTTAGCACACTGAGACAAATTTCCGTTACGAGGGAACACTTACAGGCTTACAAGTGCGGCTTCCGATGTCCACTTTGAGGCCACGTTTCCACTAACTCATAGTTAGTCAGTAACCAATAGAAATCCCTTGGTTTCTATGTAAAGTTTCAAATTAGGCGGTGCTAATTAGGCGGTAAACTTCAGAAAATCAACAACTATCCATTCGTTTATCAAACCTCTCCCAAACTTCGCTAATTAAACAAAAGATGAGAAAGATAAAAGGAGAAAACAGTAAACAAAACAGAATTTTTTAAGATTTCTTTACAGACGAATGATTTAGACGACACAGAATGAGCAAAATGAGGAAATGAACTGCTTTACGGTTTACGACACTGCTTTGATACCACGCATGATTGACAAGGAAAGTTCAAGTGGGCAAGGTGGTCAAATGGCTTGTGCTATATACCATTCGACACAGAATTTCACGCTGATTCCGAATCTGTTTTCAGTTTTTGCTATGCGCTACCTTATCAAAAGATATGCGTTTAAAGTTTTACAAGGCATTTTCGAACTTAAGGTTAAATTATGATAAGTTAGTTTCCCAAAGGCTTTTGAAGAGCTTTTGAAGAGCTTTTGAAAGACTTTTGGACTTTTAAAGAGCTTTTCAAAGGCTTGTGAAAGGCTTTTGGACTTTTGAAGAGCTTTTCAAAGGCCCTTCAAAAGCGCCATTGGCCGAGTGATAGTGGGTAGCATAGGAAGCGAACATCCTCTGGTTCGACTTCCCCTTCACCTTTTCTTTTTTTAATATTGAGTAACTTTTGCTTACTTAAATGTTTGTCTACAGTAGTTTGAGCTTTGTTTCCATATGTAGACCGTGCTTTGGTTAGGGAAATTTTGAAATTAGCTTTTCCATTGTTAAAATAACGTTGCATTTATTTGTTTGGATGGATGAATGGACGAATTTCAAATTCGGGTTTTCAAAAGAATAGATTAATCGATATTCTTTTAGAGAACAATGCCCAGGTTTCCTTTTTTGAATACACAATTGAATTCAGATTTAAAATATCGTTTTGACGAGTGTTAGTGAAATTTTATGCATTTGGCATTTAGCAGGTGAATCCTGATTTATCTTGAATCAATTTGAAACTAGGTTTTTTTTCCACCGTAATTTCTAACTCATTCTTTTAAAAAATCCATTTTTTGACTCACTATTCTTCTAAAAAATCTTATACAATTAATTTCTTCACAATATTTTCCATAAGTTTTCCATAGTTTCATAGTTTTATTATCTTCAATGCAAAAAAGCGTCTATTATTTCACATTTCGATAGGGGACAATGACGCGGATTAGATAAATGGAAAGAGAGATGATTTGGAGAAAGAGATGACACGCAGTTTTCATTTCAAAAGAATAGATGAATTTGAAATTGAGGTTTCAAAAGAATAGGATGAATCGATATTCTTTTAGGGAACAATACCCATTTTCATTTCTTTCTTTTTTTTGAATCCCCCTTTCATCATTGATGAAATATTCAATCATTCCCTCCAAAACATCGACATTTTTTCCTTTTTTCCTTCTTTCCTCATTTTTCTACATTTTTCCGTGTTTGATCTCAAGAAATACTGATTTCATTTGGTTGAGAGAGACAATTGGAGATTAAAAAATATAAAAAAGTCATCAAAATTGAAACCCGAGAATAGAAGAACATGGATTTTGGATTTTGGATTTTAACGGACGTGAAACGAGTGACCTTAAGGGAATCTACACTAAACCAATAAGAAATGAAAAATTTCTCACGATGACGGGAAATCTCCCACAATGACGGGAAATCTCTCACGAAGATGGGAAAAGCGGTTAAAGTTGAGAATCTCTTAAGTCTATCTCTATTGAATCCATATTGAAGAATCAATATTGACCAAATAACTTCAAATAAAAGACCTGAAAAATGTTTCAAGTGATGACGAATTAAATTCTCAATTCATGCTTTAAAGGGCTTTAATTTGAAACTTAAAAAGTGAAATGTCAAGGTTAAACCAAAAGATCAATATTTGAAAGCCGAAAAGTGGTCAGTAGATTAAAAAAAGCTAAACAAAAGAAAAAACATCGCTAATTAATCTGTCATTTTACTTCCAGCCTTCTCTTGATTTGAAACTCACTTTTTGATAGGCAAAAATTTCAAAAATCAACTTTTTGAGCTATCTAGTATCTTTTGGGCAGAGAAGAAAGAGGGAATACAAGTAAGAGAAGGCATTCAGAAGCGTGGAATTAAATTAAAGTGGAACATGAATGTTTTAAAGGGTTTTAATTGTTGTTTCTCAAACAAATAAATAAATTTTGATAATAAGGATCTGGAATGATATAAGCTAAATAAAAAGCTAAATAAAAAGCTAAATAAAAAGAAAAAACATCCCGACGTTCATTAATCTGTTATTTTACTTGCGGTCTTGTCTTGATTTGAAACTCACTTTTTGATAAGCAGAAATTTCAAAAATCAACTTTTTGGGCAAAAAGAGAAATTAACCTTGGTAAAATGGCAAATCTCGATTGTGGTGTCAAATTTGAATTGCTTAACATCTAGGTTACTGATAAAAATGAATCCCATTCTCACAGAATCCCTCAGCAACATTCCACAATGATTCCACTAACCACCTCCAAGCTCCAAGTTGCGACATGAATATTCGAAAGCCGAAAAGTGGTCAGTAGATTAAAAAACGGGAAGTTTTAGGTAAAAATATAAATGTTTACCATTCCAACACTACTTTAACGGTTATCCATTGTTTAACAACATTATTAGGCAAAGTCAATTGATCTCAAGATTCTATTTGGCTCAAGGCTCAAGCTGCTTTTTGAAACAAGCGATTAGGCGATGATAAAGCTAAATTTAGCGGTAATATAATAGTATAATAGTGTAGTCTAAGTTTATCCAAAAAGCTGTTAAAGTTTAAACCCCGTACCTGGTACTGTAAATTCAAGTTGTTCATTTTAAAAAGAAGCCCAAATGATCCCCAAATCGCAAAAAAAATGGCAAACCCCCAAATGGTCTTTGTAAAGAATCTGGAAGTTTTGTTAAAGCTTTATAAAATCCGATTGATGAATATGATGCGATTCTTGGAATTAGAGTGTGTTCCTAACGGATAATGAGTTTGCTAAAATGCACCTATTTGAGAAAGCTATTGTAGTCGAACCGTTAGTTTACATTCAAACAGTCCAATTTTGGTATCATTGATTGAGCCTTGTAATTCCTCATCGAATCATATCATTGATTGAGCCTTGTAGCCTCATCCAATGATATCATTGATTGAGCCTTGTAGCCTCATCCAATGATATCATTGATTGAGCCTTGTAGCCTCATCCAATGATATCATTGATTGAGCCTTGTAATTCCTCATCGAATGATACCAATAATTAGAGAAAATACGGTAGTTTCCCAATTCATAAAAAATTTTTTGATTAAATCGCACTTGAAAACTTTGTCAAATTCATTTGAATTTTTATACACGCGACAATTTTCAATTAATTTCCCAGCTAATGCTTTAGTGAGCTTCGTTTTGAAACTTGAACTCTATCATTTACATATTTGCATTTGCGTTCTTTGTGCAAAATCTAAACACACCTTTTCTAGTGTACTATATCTCGAAATATCTCAAAAACAGTGACTCATTATCACATGGAAAACAAGGATTGTGTACACCAGAAAAGATGCGTTTACACTTTTCAGCGCAAAATCTATCGCAAAGCAAACTTTTGAAAGAATCAACAATTTTCGCCTGTTTCCCCAACAAAGAGCTTTTGAATTGCCGAATTTCTTGGTCTCATTCAATATTTGAGAGTATTTTGGGGAACTTTTCAACGCCCGACTCCATTAAAAAGCTTGTTGATTCCTTTGATCCAGTCAACTTTGCAACTCCGCTTTTAGCACCCAGATTTAGTTGAAAAAAAGGAGAAAATTTTTGGAATTCAGTTTTTTTTGCAATAAACTAAAGGTCAAGCAATTGAAATTGTATTCTTTATGTGTTCTTTGAAATTTTGCAACATTTTCTTTGGGAACACCGGATTTCCCTCCTTCAGGAAACTGGAAAACAAACAAAACGGGGATCACTTATGCTATTTGGAAGAAAATGCAGAAATTTCCAACTCCGAAATGTAATCGAATACATATAGTTAAAAGAATTAAGTGAAAGATTTATAAAAACATCTTTCGCGACAAACATTGCGTTAGAAAATACCCAAGGTTGTTTATTCAAGTGAAGAATGGCAAAGAAAGGTTGTGGGAGAGGGGATTGAACCCTCAGCTTTTTAGATTACCGGGCAGATACTCTGCAGACGCTCTAGCCACTGAGATATCTAGTATCTTTTGGGCAGATAAGAAAGAGGGAATACAAGGAAGAGAAGGCATTCAGAAGCGTGGATTGAATTGAATTGAATTGAAAAAGAATTGAATTAAGGTGAAACATGAATGTTTTAAAGGGTTTTAATTGTTGTTTCTTAAACAAATAAATAAATTTTTATAATAAGAATCTGGAATGATATAAGCTAAATAAAAAGCTAAATAAAAAGCTAAACAAAAAGCTAAACAAAAAGAAAAAACAGGTCCAT